ATGACCCAAGGTACCACTGTACTTATACGGTTTGCCCTACATTATTAAATTATCAAAAGAGCATCTTTTGCAAGTCTCATTGGAGGTATATTTGTGATCTCTGGTTAATTCTGCCTTCACCATGGCAGGCCCCATGCTGCTAAAAAAAATTGGAGCTGAAGCCTTATTATAATTTAGGAGGGGGCTCAAAATATACTTGTTTATCAAGGCCTTTTAACAGTTTCAGCTGTGTCACTTCTTTTAACTATTTCAAAATGTGTTGTTTTAATTATATGTTTAGATTTGTCTTAATTGTATTTCTGCTACTGTAGCTGTATTTCTGTAACAGTGAGCCATCAATAAATTTTCAGAATTCCAAGCCACATTGCCATCCAGTTGGGGATGGCTGTTCTACAATCTGTCTCTCTACTCCATCAGCTTACCAAACATGATATAGTGGAGCCTTCCCCAATCAAGCAACCTATGGTTACCCATGCTGGGTGGGGATGATAGAAACTGTGATCTGCCACATGTGGAAGGCAAACAGTTGGGGATGGGGAAGGCTGACATAGTGGCTACCTGAATTCCCTTAAGCTTCAGAAATTTACTAAAATTCCATTGTGGGCAAATCTATATAGTTGTCTGCTGCCCTCTCTTGCCCCACCTTCTGTATTCACATCTGGAATACTGATCATTGCAACAGGTGGGGTGGATGATAGGAACAGGGAAAGGTGGGAGAAAATACAGATATCTCTTCTTTCTTTCCACCAGCATACACAGCATACAAATAAAATGAAAAGGCTATCGGAACCAGCATGGCATAGCATTTAAGGTGTTGGACTGGGGAGATCCAGATTCAGGTTTAAGTTCAAATCCACCTTCAGCCTGGAAACTCACTGTGACTTTGGGTCAGTTGCTATCTCTCAGCCTTAGAAGGGTGTTGATGTGGATAGAATTTAAAGTAATGTGTGCTATATATGCTATTGTCTATTTCTGGATAAAAGATAAAATATAAATCTTAACTAATCAATCAATAAAACATCTGAAGAGCTTTTTGCCCCAAGTTTATTTTAAAAATAAAGAACCCCAAGAAGGGACAAGAGGGACTTTGAAGTGGCCCATCAATAATTATAGTTCCTGGATAACATGAGGATGTATGTAAATCATCTGGTCAGTCTTCTCCATTAGAGAGAGATATCTTGCATCTGGTGAGATGCAGAATAGGGAAAGTTACCTTAATGTTGAAGGACTCTGATTATGCAACCATTTCTTTACAACTTTAAAATATGCAGGTGAGTGCGGGAGTTCTACCAACAAGCATGCCATGGGATGCTGAAGCTTTAGCTCAACTCTGTCTGTTGTAATCCTTAGTAAAGGACTGTTAAGAAACTAGGAAACCAGAGAGGAAACCACGTGTATTTGACTTTGAATTCCTTGATGGAAAGACAGAATACAAATGAGTGTCAATAACAATGACAAGATGTCACTGTATTCTTTTGCATAACAAAAAGCTTCACCTGAGAAATAGGGCTTGGGTGTCCATAATGAGATGAGATCCCTGGTTCTGTCTTGATGGGGCGCATTTCTTCAGCAGTAGTAGTGGTAGTTGTGCTGGTGCAGGTGGCTGAGCTAATGGCAGAGGGAAGGCTTTCATTGCTGGCTGATCCTAGGATGGGAGGTGGAAAAGGGAGGGAAAAACTGTTAAACCAGGTCTGTCCTGAGACTTTACCCAAAAACTGAACTGTTGGCTACTGTTGCTGCTGAGATAAAAAGGCACATTATATAAGAAAAGGCCAAATGGATCTTCATCAGAAGGGTTTTCAGAACTAGAACATCATGACAATAGAAGAGGGGGAAAGTTGCTGTGAATTATATTTCCTATCAGCTCCAACTGAGGGATGATAGCAGTTATAACTGTGTAATGCATGGAAAACAGGTGTATCACAAGTATTAGTCATAATAACTGACTTTGCCTCTGGGTTCCAAGATTGCTGAATGTTAGCTGTTTGGGACCAGGAGGAGGGAAACAAAATGCCCTGCTTATGAGCTTTGCTGAAGATTATCTAGCCTCAGTCAGAAACAGGATGTTGGACAAGACTGATCTTGACTAAGCAGGACTATTTTAATGCACTTATGGAGTAACATACTCTGTTAAGGCTTTTTGCTTGGAAGAAAAATACAAGTACCTTGCTATGGCGTGCCAGAAGGTGTTGACATTCAACTCTTAGAAGCTCTAGTCAGCATGTTAAGTAATGACTCTATATGAGTTGATGCCAAGGTACCTGCAGGACCCCCTTCTCCTAATGGAATTGGCCTGTCCAGTACACTCTTACTGGGGAGAAGTTTTGGTAATACTCCACCAATGAAGTAAGGGGAATGGAGGGCGTGCTGTTTCTCAGTTGCTGCTTGGCCTTGGGGAATACTTCCCCTTAGAACGCTGGCTTGCTTCTTTCTAAGGTTCTTACAAGGTGGAACTATTCCAAAGAGGACTTGGTTGAATACTTGGTACTCACCAACTTGAATTTATTTTATTTTGGATAACTTATAAGTATTTGTACATAAGTTGATATTTGGAAGATTTTGTTGATTGTTTTGTAAACTGTCACAAAGTCTGTTTTGAATTGGTGGTACAAAAGGAGAATTGATTGATTGATTGATTGATTGATTATCAATGGTTTATCATCCTCTGAAGGACCACAGAAGGCCCATATTTGATTTTGGTATTGAATAATACTTTTTTCAGCTTTAGCAGGCCTTAAGCTTAAACTGTAATTACCAATGGGTCATATTATATGAGATTGTTTTTTCTAATTGTACTCACCTGCTGATGTCTTGGATTTGCTTAAATTCTTTGGTTTACGCTTTCTGGTTTGGATCCCTTCTTTTCTCATAGCTAAAGGCCTTGGGACCTGTGAAGATGCATTAGAGATCAACATTAATCCCCTAGAAAGATCTGCAAATCCAACAGTTGGAATAGAATCCTAGGCATCTCAGTTTTTGTTGCAAGGAATAAGGACACCTAAAAATATTGCTACTGGCCCTAAACCTTAAGGATATGCTGTGGGTTTATGTGGCTCAAATTCTAAGGGGGTGCAAATGTTCTGAACTCAAAATGCTATAAATTGGGAATAGCCATTTTTAGGGTTCCAAGCTCAGAAGAAAATGCACATTTTTCAAGGGCAAAACAGGATTATTTTTGAATGTTCAAAACCCTGTGACTAGCTTATTGTTTTCTTAATTGTGATTTGTGTTGAGCTTTGGCATGTTGACACAACAAATGCAAAAAAAAAAAAGTGTGCTGCTCAAGAGTTTTTCTTGTAGGCAGTTTACAAAAACACAACGAATGGCCAACCTGTATTTCTACTATCTTTTGAGAGGCAAGTCAAATTCATAATGTAAGGTGTGCAATGTACTGTATTAGGAAGAAGCCTCTTTCAAGCTAAAAATAGAAGTGTATTTTTTGGTTTCTGTTGTTCATGGACAGTTTATTAATAGCTTTTGCTTCTTAATGGGCTCACTGTGGCCATTGTGCTGCCAAAAGCTTATAGTTCCTCTTCATTGCTTCATATACAAATTTAAAACTTTTTTTTTTTAATTTTCTAAAATTATTTCCTTTGGAAATTTTTCTGTGGGTCGGGAGATAGACCATACTTAGCGTGAACTACTTTTTCGCCTACTTTTGCAGCAATAAGGCAAAAACTGTTTTCAGTTCCCATTGTTTCTTATGGAGAACTTAACGTTCTTGTTCTGTTGGAAAAAGAGAACATTCAGAGCATTCTGAGTTTTGTTTTGACAACCAAATCAAAACACCCTGGGTGAATATTCCTAGATGGGTTACTCTGTGCACATCTCTACTGAATACCAAATCCAGTCTTCCCCAACAAGATGCCCTCCAGATTTAGGAGAGCAACACCTATAAACTCCCAAATAGGATGGTTGGATCTTCTGTCCATTTCCCTCCTCTGCCCTTGCCCTCATCTGGCTTGCAAGTAGTGGCCAGAAGGGGCAAGTTCTCAGCACTCTTCACTAATAGAAAGCCATACACAGGGAGAAATGTCCTGATGTCACATGTTTGACCTATTTCTTACAAAGCAGTCTTCCCCAAACTGTTTTTTGATTACAATTCTCAGAATTCCCATCCAGCATCACTTTCAAACTGGGGAAAGCTGCCATAGATAGGTTCTGCTTTGTCTTCTGCTCTCACCCCATGGAGCTTCATGTATAAACCACAAGCATTGCAGACTGGCTCTCCTTCGGCATTCCGGCGCCACAGTGTGGTCGTAGATGTATGGCAGTTTGCACATGACAGCCCAATCCGACGGGAGGCTGACTATAGGAACAAGAGTCCAAAGCAAGAACAATTGATTATTAATTCACCAGTGAACTTATCTATCAATCAATTAGATATTCTTGCCTTTTTACTAATTATCATAACCTACTTATAAAATATCAGTAAGATTCAGGGCCATATAGAAACTCTGTTAAGTGACCCTTATAAATGGTATAAATCTGGCTATCTTGCTTTTTACAGGTCAGGATTAATAATGGGCAGGTGGGATTGACTCACTAAGGGTTTAACAGTCTGTGAGGATTTGCACCATATTCCTTACCAGCCTCCTCTGGGGCTTGATCAATGGCCGGTTAATGCCATTCATCTTGTGGTAGAGTCCACATGCATTACAAAGATAGTGGCCGGTGCCATCTCTTCGCCACAGTGGGGTGGACATAGCACCACAGTTGACACATTCCCGACCTTCGGAGTAATCATCAAAAAACTCTGCAGGCACAAGAGGACGAAATGAAGTAAGTCATCAAAGATCTGTCTAAAAGCATTTTTCATGTAGCTATTTCATAATTCCTGAGTAAAATCTTGAGCAGACTGAATGCCCTTCCTCAGTCAACCAAAATAGTGCAAAAAGCTGAAGGACAATCAGGTTGTTATCTCTATTTATTTCAAGTATTTCTAGACTGTCTTTCAGGAGATAAAGCCTTTCTAAGACATTTCATATAAAAAGACAATGTATGTCAATTTCATAAATTATTTATACTAGGAATCTGCAAGTGACCTATTGCAGTGAATAGCTCTGCATCATCTTGTACCTTTGTATGTGTTGGACAACAACTATCCCTGCCAGCTAGCCCAAGCAGTGGCCATGGTGTCTATGGGATTAAGGGTGTTTAAATCCAACACATACAGAAGCCATCAGGTTGGGGAAGGCAAAAAGCAAGTTCCTAAAACTGAACAGTAGAGGGAGATCTCATCTCAACCTTTGCCAGAACTAATGACACAGACCGGTATTATTTCACTGGTAACCTCTACAGAAAGGGAAGAGTTGGATGGCCAGAAATGCATTTATCAAACTATTTAAAGATCTGCTGTACTTAGAATGTCCAAGTGCCTCCTGCAAGAAGTGGCTTCTCTGTGCCAGATGCACTATTTTATTTCTCTGTCAATTGCAGATGGTGAGTTTCTGAATGGACCACTCAGTCTGGCCACTAGAACATAATAGGCATTGATCTATCTTCACAATAACACTGTCCTTCCACAGTTTGACAAAACCCAGTATGGCAGATAGAATGAAATGCTTATATAGGAGGGATCATCTCCTTGTTCAAGTCTGAAACTTGGTCACCAGGTCCGCACACAACACATTAAACCTGCTAACAAAACACAACTGCGTGAGTCGTGTAACTAAACTATGCCCAAACAAACAAAAAACATATGGCTTAACATAATAGCTGGGTTCAGACAACCTGTTAGGACAAAAACTGGATTTCCATGACAAACTGACCCACAAATACCAAACGCCCAATCTCATTTTAATTTAGAGACTAGTATATTGTGTGAATCCAGACACTGGGTGATCTTAGGCTAACTACCTCTCTCTGCACATAACCTACCTCATTAGGTTATTACAATAATAAAACAGAAAAACTCATTACACTTTATTCTCTTTCTTGTAATCTAACCTGCCTCTCCTCTAGATAATCCTGGCCAATGTTGAAATTACATGCAAGGTTAGACCTGGTTATTTTCCTGAGAGACACCCAGAAAAATCCCAGGGCTACAGGCTAGACTGGGACATCAAAAAAACATCCCTGAAGAAAGCAATGGAAACTGTTACTGTATTGCCAGAAGAATACATGGATATTTCCAGAATGTCACAAGAGTTGAACTGGCCCAAGGTCTGACACAGCATCATCTCCTTTATATTCTTGAGGAAGATGACAGCTGCACCTGAAGACGGTTGTGGGATCAGTTCACTGTTTTCTCTCTCCTCTCACCTATACCCTGACCTGCTTAAGCATTTTGATGGAGGGCTTTGAAAAGCAGAAGTGTGGAAACTCCTAAAAAAGATACTACACTTTTAAAATAGAGGTAGACAACTGGGTCTTGCTCATGTGGTATTTTAATTCAGCAAAATCTTTAACAAAAAGGGTATTTTGAAAGGAAGGTCAGCATTATTGCTAGTCTGGCATTATATATACACAAATTTATGCATATCACAATCCCGTCTGGTGTAATACTTGTGACTGAAATGAGATTTGATCCAAGTGTTCATCCTCAACTCGCATTTATGACTGTCTATGCACATCACTCCTTCTACAGAAATCCTGGGAGACATCACAGCTCCTTTTCCCCCGCATAGCAATTTCAGTGCTCTTCTTATTAGAATCCGTCTTTATTTCGGTAACAACTTTATCTAAAATGGATATCAGCAGAAACTTGACCAAATGACTTGATTCACCAAGAGCACTGTTTCTCAATCTTGACAACTTGAAGATGTGCGGACTTCAACTCC